CTTCCCTCCAAGCTCGAGTGCCAAAACTTCAACTAGAGGAAGAATCACCTGCGAATTACGGAACCATCTATGGTAACAAACTCAGTGTTCGCAGTTCTGAATAATCAGCTAGGATTTGACTTTTGAAAAAAAACTATCTTCTCTTCAGGCAGTCCAATCCTGACCGTCTTTCATGGTCGTTCAGATATAGTGAAAGAAGATTTCCAGAATAAGGATACGGATTACGATCCATTGCTCGAGAAAATGGGTCCAATCATGGAGTAACGAATTTCAGCCTATCTATCACTCAACTGTCTCTACCTCCATGCCACAGTACCCTATGATTTCTGGGCATGAAGTTTTGCAACGGTTATTTTGTAATTTTAAATGTTGATCGCCCTGAAAATCTGTACATAGGAATTAATTGGAAAGTAAATCAAGACTGTGTGCCTTTTTACATCATGTTTATTCAGCGGTGCATAATTTCATAAAGAGTTGTTTCTATTTGTAGTTCAACTGCAACATACAAAGGATGAAACTACTCTTTTTTTCTACGAAACACATTGTTACAGAGTGACTTACCTGCGAGGGGGTGAAACTCCAGACGCATTTGTTGAATTTTCTTTCTGCGAATTTTTACTACTGAATTTTGTGGAAACTCCACACGTCCGATATAAGAATGATCGTGGAATCATGCCCTTCTCGAATATGGAGGAATCCACGGCAACCATGTCCTGAGAGCTGCCTTAGATACTTGTGAACTCAGCCTTTGATGCCCTTGATCCGCCAGAGCAGGACTTTGAACTGCTTTAACATGCTGACCATGTAGTTACTGCGTGAATGAACTTTCTCGTCTCTGCTTTTTCAGAACCTGGGTTGCTCAAAAGTGTTCGATGACAAGGTCAGAAAGTACAGAAGTACCCAATTTGTAAAAACGATACTGGCGAGTGGTACTCTCATCGCCAGAATCGTAGAACTTACCTGATTTTTAATACCTGACAAGACACTCGACACACAATCTGGACACAAATTTATGAACAAAAACGTCTGCTCAAGCTGAGGAGCTCCATAGGTGCTCGCAGGTACACAATTCCAAGAGGTGTACGAAAAAGCATCCCATTCGAGTCTGGCACTGAAAATCTTGCCTAAAAACCGTTCCATTTCTGAAAGCGTAGGTGTGCACTATGCTTGAAGGGTGCCTAACTGGTTGACCAAAAAAATTTTTGCGGTCTTTGCTTCGGAATGTGATAATTGCTTTTGTAGTAGTATTGAGTTAGACGTGGGATGGAAAGTCACTAATTAGTTTAGAGCTATCTCATTAAGATGAACTATTCTTACTTACACATTGGACCAAAATGATCTGTAACAATATCAATCAATGTGAACTCTCGTTTCAATTCTTCTTTTTCATTTTAGTGCAATCATGCTTCGAGACGCCACATTTAGTCAACATTTACCGGTACTCGTATGACAATAATCGGTATCCCATTGGCCCTATTTTAAGACTTTCAAAAAGGTGCCATATTATGTATCATTGAAATCGCCATCAAACTGTTGTTCGTCTTTTCCTAACGATCGCATTCTGACAACCCATCCATCAATGAACTTTCAACAGACAATTACGCCGGGAGAGAAGGAATGACACACCCGAATGAGAGATCCTCAAGTGTCACCCTAGATTACGCATAGATTTTGATACACTACAAGTAGAAGGAACTGAAGAAGGCTAAGTGCGACTCATTGAAAAGGAAATTTCGTGACAAGTGACTACTTCATTTTTTAAAAAATTTCTTGAAAACTTGCAAGAGCAATCCGTCCAGTTGAGACTTCTAGACTGAGACGTACGTATGTATCATAGGGAATGAACGACCCTGCTCAAGGGATTCTTGTCTAGCAGTGCGTCAAAGTAGATAGAACTTGTCTAGCAAAGCGTCAAGTAGATAGAAAATTGAAAGTGAACCTTCCTCAGATTAGTCGCTCCTAAGCAATTGCTCCAGCCGTCAAGATGATATGGAAACATTTCTTTAAGTAGGCAGTAGGGCCTACAGTCTGGTCACGTCCCTGTGCTAGGCATAACTGTTGCAAAATGCGACCTCCTTCCTCAAAAGTTCCTCTTTGATACCTTTGGTTCCTTTCATATGTAACCATCCCTCATCTCACCTACCACCTTACTAAATTCTCTCAGCTTCCCACCTTTTTTTCTGAGTTTTTTTCCGAAATTCCACTTTACGGTTTTCCCTAAAGAACTGATGCCGGGTGGGCGGGGGGCGGGAGGGGTGGAGACAGTATAGCGCACTTCAAATTGGAACATCAAGTAAAGGCAACACCGCAGTCATTTTTCTCAAAATCCAATACTACCTCATTCCCTCCAACGACTGAATAAGACTTCTATCTCTGGGGATCACAAGGTAGAAGACATTCGCTCTGATACTGGAACCAGGGCATATCATCGTTTGTGAAATACAGGCCGCTACGCCGACAGGTGGTCCTAATTGGCCTCGACAAGACTGTCCGATTGTTGGCTTCTGCCGCTTCACACACGCCTTATACCCTACCTCTTTTCCGCAAACGTTGAGTGAGAGTTTGGATGGGTAAATGGGTCGCACACAGGGCACAGCGTTCGATGGGGATTCCTTATGGGGGGGGGTCGCATTTGGGCCTGGGAAAAATTTATTTTATATTTATTTTCTCGCTGAACTTGCAGACGTTTTGAAGGGGTCGTTCGCTCATGTTGGGGGGGCTATTTCTGTCTAGGAGTTACGTGGTTCCACTTCAGGAGTTTTATGAAATTTTCTGTGTTATATGGACGCTATTCCCCGTATGATGTCGTCGCATGCTTACTACATACCTCGCCCGCTCGAGAAACTTTTTCGCCGAGTATAACCCACAACCACAGTCAGCGAATCCAGTGTCATTCATGAAAAGTCGTGCGAGCGGGGGGTATGTAGTAAGCATGCGGCGTACATCGTACGACTATGGGGGGTACCCCTGGAAAGGGGGGGGTCGTAAAAGCTCGACCAAAATCCCCATCGAATGCTGTGCCCTGGTCGCACAAAGAACGAAATTCAGGGAGGGGATTTACAACTGTTTCGCATACCTCAATGAATTCCATGGCTGGAAGACACCAGCGCTTTAACAAAGTAGCTGTAGTTTCTTAAGCTTTTCATTCACCCCTTGGAATCGAGCTGAAGGTCAGGTACCCTGGGATACAGGAACGCACTTCGGGACCAATTTTGATATCAGTGTAGAGGTCCGGAGTGTCTACCCCCCCCCCTCCTACAAATTGCATACCATACAGAGTAAGTATATCTAAGTACGACTTCCGCCATTGCAGCGAATAATATCCTAAGTTATTCCTTGTTGATAAAAAGACTGATAGAAATTCATTTCAATGGTGTGCAGCTTTCTCAATCTGAAAAACGCCTTGCTAGCTACGAGAATGACGGCAGTTTGTTATAACTCGCGAATCATCTTATAACGTTATAACATTATAACTTAACAGTTCATATCTGAGCAGCAAGAGGCGTGGATGCGACTGCGGCGAGGGCCCAAACGAAAGATGAGAAGATGCGGACGATGAAAGAATACAGTCGGCAATACACAGCCACGCTCCTTGCTTGTTCTCCGACATACTTTTGAGTTTTGGACGACCATCGAGCTACAGACCTTGACTAACCTATAAAGGATGTAGTTCACGACATTAGAGTGGCGGGCCCACGCGTAAGCTTGCAAGCCCTGCAGCATCGCCGCGACGAATCAATTGGGTCCTGATGGGAATGCTACATGTAGCCGCGCTAGCAGCACCTCTTTGGCTTCGCTTGCCACCATTAGGATGTGCCATACTACACCTACCACTGGAGCATTCTTAATAACGTAAGACCGTGGAAAACTACACCAAATATTCATTGACTAGCAAATGAAACGCCTGAGGTAATGTCAATGAAGTCTTTCAATAAGTATGTACAACACATACAAGTAAGAATCAGGTAAGGTTTAAGAGACTGACAACGAGGGGGTTTTCATGAGGGCGTGCGCGGTTGCCGCGGGTACCGCGTTCCAACGCAACCACACTATGACTGCCCTATGACGTTGAATCTATATCATACATGGAATTTCATAATAGGCTAACATCAATGTGTTTTCATGTATACTGAAGTGAAGGATCGGAATGAAGAGAACATAAAGAGAGACGTAACTTGGAATGCTACAGTATGACATATTTAAAGATCACAAACAATAAAATGGATTTTCAACCACACTCTCTCTTCAACACACCCACTAAGCGAAACTAGTACGAGGTCTACAACGACGAAAAGATATGACACTCAGAACATAGGTCGGAAGATGTGCATAGGTTGTAAACGCACCGCGGCGCATGAATTTGCCGCTCGCCGCACGCTGTCATGCGCGAACAAATTGCGTGTCAATTTCATAACGACAGGTTGTCTGTCGCTCGATGCTGTCGCGTGCGGCGAGTAGAAAATTTGGGGTATGTGACAACAGGATCGTAATTTGCCGCGCTGCTGGGCGCCGCGTGCGACGTCCCGCCCGAATTCGCCGCGCTGCTGGGCGTCGCGTGCGACGTCCCTCCCGCAAAGGACGATGGTTTCAGGCAGTAGATGGCAAAAACATGCAATTAGTGACCGAAAACAGTAATGAGTGTCTACGATGACGGAGTCTACATGAAGTCCGGAGCTTCATTCGACAGGTTAAAACGAGTTATGAAAACGCCGCGCCCATCGCCGCGCGCGGCGGTGCGGCGAATTACGATACTCATTAACCGTTCCCGAAAATTTGCGCGATGCACGGCGTTAACAGGCAGTACGCACCTAGCTTAACAAGAGTAATGAAATGAGTACAGAAACCTGCTCTACTTTATAATGTCACAAAATTGAATATTTTTCTTATAAATTATGCAATTAAACAGAGCAGAGATCAGAAACTGCCTTCCTCATAACTATGAAACTGTACACTAGAACGACTATATACACAAAGAAATAGAATTTAATATGTTATTAATATCACCTAGTTGACAAAGTTTTCATTGGAGTACTGAAAGCAAGGCAGTATTTCATGTAGGTACTTCGTTCATCCAGATATCGATTGCAGTTGTAGATCACTATGACGAACCACACTTCGAGGAATAAGGAAAGAGCATAGACTATGAGAATCGAGTAGATACGTACCATAGTTCCTTCAAAAAAAGATATAAAAATATTTTAGTCGTTAAAGGCAGTGGACACGATGTCTGGGGGCGGGCAATTACTGCCCACGTCATTGGTGGAAGGGCTGAGTAGATGTAGCCAAGCGCCCTCTCGCAGTCCCTCAACCAGTGACCTTGACAGTAACTGCCCTCAGTGATCGCGCCCACTGCCTTTAAATAGGCCAAGGTTTTTACCTGCATCCAAAGCGACAGTGTTGTGAACAGGATGTTCCATAAAAGGGGCTGCATTAATGAGCCTGTAGAAAACGGCCGAGTCGGTCGTTATTGCTATAATTCCACTGACCAACACCAACGCGAAGCATATTATGGCAATCACCTAGAATAGCGCGTCTGTGCAGGTTACTCCAACGTGCTTACTGCTTTCCCTACTCTCCTGCCAGAAACAAGTTGCATAGGACAGGCTCGTCATCAGAGTACGCCCTGCCGTTGGAGGAAACTGCGAAATACGATCTTCTCTCGATTTCCCCCTCTGGTAACCACCAGTCCCTCAGGCAGCGTTCAGACCTTGCGACGGCAGTGCCTCGGTCGCGCGTTCGAAGCGATCAATGCGCATACTTTCGACTGTATCGTCGCGTCTAACGCGCGATCGAGGCGCTGCCGTCGCGAGGTCTGAACGCTGCCTCAATTCCCGTCCTCCCATTTCTCAATTTCTTATAACTTTTCGGGGTCTTTATCGAAAATTCCCCAGTGAAAATTTCCTGTTCGTTCCATACAAGTCCAAATTCTCCAATATCCTTTCTTTCAAGTCCACAAGAATTCTGTCCCTCAACCTCGAACTAATGCGAACCTCCCAGCAGGACAACTACGACGTCTGCTGAGGAATTCTTAGCGAATGGCGCATGGGACGACTCAGCATTTAGAAGTTCTCAACGAACGAATCGACAACGAAGGGGCCGTATTTTAGTCTTGGAAAGGGGAATCGATTATACCTTGATGTTGAGTGGACCCTGTTCCCCGATTCTCTTGATTGGGAAGGACGTGCCCCAACGAACCACTTTGAGCGGAACGGTCCTTGAGTGCCACCCTCTCAACTGTGGAGCGTTATTTAGCTCCGTTAGCCCACCGCAGTACGAGTTCATTGGGAGCTAGAGTCGACTCGAGCTGCGATAGCGCTACTGAGAAATGAGGCTCCACGCCTTACACTCCCAGTCTTTTAGTAACATTTTGAAGCATCATCGGCAAATTGCCACAAGCCTTTGAAAATTACTGCAGGCTTCGGAAGCTGATCGATTTGGTGAACGATATCGATTGAAGGGAACTTAAAAGATGAGAAAAACGACATACCTGCATAACAATATGCGGAACAAGCAGCAATGCCTGATTTCGTGAAAGACCAATGAAGAGAAGGAAAACGACGAATGAACCGAGTCCCAGGCCAATCATTTCGGATAGAAACGATGCAAAAACGTAATTTTCTTTGACTCCTCGAGCCTGAAAAAAGCACCTCAAAATAACAGCCGCCAAAAAAAAACTGCAGACAGCACAAAAATGACTTTTTACTACCGCCTTTCTCCTTTTCACCCTTTAATTCTTACACCAATTGGAATGATACATTTTGAGGTTTAAGGGAAGATTTCACGCCGAACATGCGGGCAGAAGCAGTGAGTACTGTGCCCCTCCTATCGGTACGCCCCTTACAGGGCAACAAAGAGGAGGGGTGGGCAAGGAAGAAGGCGCGATGGTCGACTGTCTAGACCCACACGACGTGGATTGTGACTCCTAATGCATTTCAGCAACGATCCTCTGAAAAAGTGTTAATTAAGGGACCTCCACTGTTGAGGACTGCTCAAGTACTTCGACCAAACGGAAAAGCTTGTGTCGGAAGCGCTCATTTTCGTCATCTTCAAGCTCAGGTTTAATACTCTAAATATTAATAAAAATCAAGAGAGCTTAAAAACAAAAGCATGTATTTTCCTAAAGTGATGAAGCACCCCATCAGGCGGCATACTATTCCTTAGGAAACATTTCTTCTTTTATGAAAATTTTTTACAAGTCGTTACTCACAGGCCTCAATTCACCTGATTACTTTCATTAGATAAGGTCTACCTTCAATTTGATAAATAAGCCTAATTAAGGGTCGATGGCAAAGCATCGCGGAACATCCTTCGGAGAAAATCTGGCGCTAAGTAGGTGCTATACTCGCCAAGATTTGACGGCGCTTTCTTAATGGGCAGCAATCGAAAACTTGTAGATTTCCGATTCGTGAGGGAAAAAAGACCCAAAGGTAAGGGTCACAGGCTGCCGCGATCCCGGTCTAGGATGTCACTCTGTACATCGCAAGCGCGGAGTATCCGTATTGGTATACTCCATTTCAGCGATGGAGCAGGCGTGGCTGCATACTTTACTTAATGGCGTAGGACGCCTTGTTCTCGGGATGTTTCCATTCTATATCATTCATTCTAAATGTTATTCCACTTTGTAGTGAACAAGGAGATGTTTGCAATGATGTTTTTGTCTGAAACTGCAATGTACCTCTAGAGCTGCTGCTGCCGGCACATCTGAATAAAGTACGCAGCCACGGACTTTCTATCCATGGGGTATGGGGTGTAGTTAACTCGGCTGATGTAGCACTTAGGCAAATCACATGGTTCATGTCACCTGACGCTCTATATCGTTCACATTCTTATCTCAAAATATTAACTCTGTTGAACGTGCTCCGCCTATTGGGTGCGAGAAACAGCTATATCTGGCCCCGGGCCTGGCCTACACATGCAAATCAACAGGTTACCTGGAGGAATTGTTTTGTTTTCCAAGTTACTTGACATTTACTTCCGGAAGGAAGCATAGCCAGCCTCTTACGCAGTGTCTGCCGCTTGTTAACAAAACCGGAAACAATTTTCGTAGTCGATACGGCTTTCCCAGAAAAGACACTAGTGGACAAACGGGAAAAAGTGCCTGCGGCTCGAACTGCTTTCATCTGATAAGCTTTTTCATTACTGAGTTACGCTATTACTTTTCTTGCTTACTTAATTATGCATCTTGTAGCAAATTTCTTGCAAACCCCAACGCTTTATGCAATTTGCTGTCATAGTGTTAATCATTACCCTGCAAACGGGAAGAGGTGTGAGGGACGTGATTTGGAGCGCAGCCAAGGAGGCCTTCTCCACTACTTCGGGCCATTTCGCAATAATTGGTAGGAAATGTTGCCCTAACTGCACTCTATTCCACGTCCCCTTACACGCTCTCTCTTTCGCAGGATTAATGACTGTCTATAAACCAAAATAGGCTTGGAACGTACATCTTGCAATCTGCCGTCATGCTGGAAATAGACGAGAAGCGAATGAATCAGGAAAAACAGGATCATGAATATGTGAACAGCTCCAATAAGATAGGCACCGATTTTCACGTGAAAACAGTTACACAGACAGCGGTATTCCTCCGAACTTTCGTCGAATTGTACAGATCGAGGTACCTGTAAAAATCAAATATTTGTTTGCTTATCATTTTCAAGCCCCAATTGGTGGAGCACGCCCTTTTGCCACCCGCGCCCGGCAAAAGGGCACCATCGTCATAAGCTGGCAAAGGATTTATCTTTAAAGTCGGCTTATCTACATAGCTCAGTGATGAGAACCAAGGGTAAGGATAATGTATGGGTGGTCAGAAATCCTTCATGGGATGTGTACCGCAAATAACTTCTACTCAGTAATGGAGCGCTAGTTTTTAGGTCGCTACTCTCAACAATTCACTGTGTCTGGAACCACCGGCCTGGAAACGCTATGGAAGGCTTAATTCACCTCACTGAGTGACGCTTCAAAACCTTACCACCCTGACAACCAACCTGAGTTGTTTGTGCTGAAAAATAGGTGCGCCTGCCGCGGTGTGGCATTAAGTCGAAAAACAATTTTTCACTCTGTCCCTCGCTATGAATTCGTCACTTACTCATGAGAAGGCTTACAATTTCCCATATCACCCATGTCTCAAACAGGAAACGTCACCCGTAAGTGCTCCCGCCGCTTTCAAGGAGTAGATTGCTGTCAGTTTTAGCTGTCAGCTGCAAATTCTTCCTTTTCCTTCTTTCTTCCTCCCTTTTTTCTTTCTTCTCTTGCCATTCATTTTTTTTCCTGAAACATTTATCCACATAGTGTGGCGAGAAGAGCCTCAGGGTTCAGGATACAGCATCGTTGTGTCAAACCCATTGGGGGGGGGGTCGTACTTTTGCTCTAGGGAGGGGGGTCGTATTTGGAAGACAAATTTATTTTGATAGTTGATTTTTTCTTGTGGAAAAGGGGGTCGTGCCTGGACCCATTCGAAGGGGGGGGGGGTCGTACTCACACGGACATTTCGCACATCCCCATGCTGTACCCTGTCAGGGTTCTCTCAGTGAGAGAAGTTACGGTTGGCAGGCGTCTCGAAATTATTAATTATCTACAGAACTTATGACTGCAGGAAATCCGCATGGAGTGAAAAGTGGACCTAATGGCCAGGCATGTATGCACTCAACCCGAAATCTTACGGAAATTACGCTACGCTCCTTACGGAAATCCGCTACACCTCATCGCACGATGAACCCCCACCCTATGGAGAGCACTGTTTCTAGCCTACCAGTTATCAGGTACAGGTTTATTGCCCCCAAGAAAAGAAAAGCGAGTAATTCAGAAAATAGTTCTTGCCTTTTAATAACTATCGCCCTCATCCCACCCACTTTCGTATCAATGAATGGCGTAGCGCGCTTCGGTGACATAGTCTTTGGGGAGCCATGAATCTTGGGATCAGCTGGACGTAAGTATCCGGAATTCTCAAAAGACCAGCGTGCCCCGTGTAACACCGCTAGAGTGACCTGGACGTGTTGCAGGAGTTGATTTCCAAGTCGAGCCCAGGATCACATTTGACTACTAAATCTACTATCACACGATGTGATTTACTCAAGACGTAAAACGAAAAAGAACAAGCGAAAGCCGTAAATAAACAGTAATTAGCTCAACTTGAATTTACTCACATGTTCAACGGATCCGTTTTCTCCTCGATTACCTCGTATGAGTACGGACCGCACAGCGCGACCGTTCATCATCGTGTGAAGGCGATCCGTGGTGACCTAGTATAATATGGGTTACTATAAAAGTAAAGAAAAAGTTAGCACCGAATCTGACGCAAAAAACCTTCGATGACGTTAGGAGACGTACAGTCCATATCTGAGGACAACAAGAGTTGTGGTTGCAAGAGCAGCGATCGCTGCGAGAGTCCAGGCGGAAGAGACGCAGAGACGCATGTATAATAAAACGGTTGGCAAAGGATTGCGGATTGCCGCCAGGATGCCCCTTTTGGTTTAACGATGTGAACTGCAATCATTGAAAGCAAAGCAGATGTGGTACTGCAAATAGCACATTGATTGTGAGCACTGAGGATTCCTGGACAGGGGGAATGTTTTAGTTCCGAATGAGAGGTGATTTTGTTTTCGTTGTTGAGTTGGGCCCTGTGGGGGTAAAATCTTCCTCCGCTTGGAATCTTATTGAGAAATGATGGTCCCGATCGCCAAGTAGTGCTCCTGGTGGGTAGTGCATGAAAGTTTTAACAGAGAAGTTCCAGGCTCACAAAAGTAAGCGAGAATTTCAAAAAGTAAAGAAAGAAAGTGAGAGAAAGAATTTTACTAAGAATCTTACAGCAGTAAGCCACTGAGCCAGTAGGGCCTTAGTTAGAAAGGTGTCATTACAAAGTCTCTGCATAGAAGTTGGAAATTTCTGCTAGTAAGTTCGCAAGCCCGTTATGAATGTAGATTTCGAACATTGAATTTTCAGCATGAAGAATTTCGTGAATACATCAAAGCTCTAATAATATCAAAAATTCCGGAACTCCTAGCAAATTCACAGAATTCTGTGCTTCTCACTCTCATGTGAATTCGTTACTATGTCCATCACATCACTGACGCGTACATAGCTGCGACGTTTCAGAGGGTCCCTCATGTCCATGAAAATTTTTCAAAACCCCTTTAGGCGACCTAGTATCGGGGAAAAAGAAGAGATGTTTGATTCAAGCAATGCAGTGCCATTGAATTTTCGGCTACCAAAGGAGACTAGCTGAAGGAAATTTCAAATCGACTGCAGAACGTTGACGGCCAAGATGTCCCCAGCTAACCCACATCTACTTTTTGGGAAATGGAATTTCGACGACAAAAAAAGTCGATTCAAATGCAGCTGCGTTTCCGAAGTTCATGGCTTCGCCCTCGTGGAATAGATGATTTACACAATCGATAAAAATTATAACGAAGTTCAATAAGTACCATTGGTAATGATAATAACAAAGACTTCGGATCATTGTCCACCCCTTCCGAAAGGGTAAGAAAAAGTAAAAATATTTTTCAATGAAAATATGAATTGCATGTACGCATTCCATCCCCATTTGGAACCGTTGAAGCTACAGCTGTTAAAATTACCACAAAAAACGCCGAGTTATGGGAAAAGGTCAAAATCGGTGAACGTCTAAGCGCTGCAAAGCTGTGCCTTAAAGTTCTCAAAGGCACCGTCCGCCTTTGGAAGCGTAGGCAGTGGTGATGAAATATGAAAAAAAGNTGCCACGCAACTCGTCAGTGAAGAGAAAATGCAAAATAGAACGTCAGAAATGCCTCCAGAAAGGCCATTCCAGCTTAACGAAAAGCGGCTGACTGGACGTTTTCGGTCCAGCCAGATGATTCGAGCGCCGAACGCTCCACGCCTATGTGGAGCACTAATACATGAATTGGTTCAAATAGAAGGTGTAGGCATTACAAAGAAAGCTGCGATAAAGCTGCTGACATTGAAAAAGAAGAAGGGTCACAAATTAGTTCTTCACAAATTAGTGCTCATAAAAATGTAAATTAGGTATAATTCGTCAATGAAGAGACTTTGTTTACTTTATGGAGAGCTGAGGTGTCTTAATCATACTCACAGATTCCCATTAGAGCTAATAAGACTAATTAGAAGGCGTGACCTGCCCCTATTATTGGCTACAGATTGAGTGAGGCAACTTAGTCTGGCAGGTCATACCGTGTAGGATCACGTTTCTCGAGAGAACTACATGAAAAAGTAACGTTTACAAAGTGAAATTTGGCGGAAATAATCCAATGCTACAGGCGAACAAAGGCAAAAGTTTTTTTACAGGAAAACAAAGGCTGTAAAATTCTTATCAAAGCTCCCCAGCGGCAATTACAACTTGTTCGTCACCTGGCCTGGGAAAGTGTTTACGCTGCAGTCAAAAGCTTCACAAGCCCTGTTTTCAGGGTATAGGGTGCACTCCTGTATGTTGGCAGACCTCAGCCTTGACGTTTCTTTCTCATTCTGTTTTGTGAGTGTTTTTTTTTTTGCTTGTTCTTCCCATATTAACGAACACATCGCGACAAAAAGATGTTTTAAAAAACCAATCAAATAGTGAATATTCAAAAAAAAACGACGAAAACGAAAAAAATAAACCTGCTCCTGTGGGTCCCCAACTTTCCGCGCGCAATTGCGCGCATACACCATCCTCACCATTACGACTGTCGGGCGGCAGCAGCGCCTGCACTGTGAGCGACCAGCGGCAGCGGCTTCGCGACATGAACAGCTGATTTCGATGGTCGGCCGCAAATCCCCATTTTTTCAGCTCTTCAAGCTTCTAAAGTGGAAGGTGAGTTATTTTGAACAATTTTGAATTGTACTGGCTCTGATTTTCTTCATTTTTATGTCGATTATTATGCTGTTTTCTTTGTATTTTGCCTTATTTCAGGCATTTATTCAAACGGCTTACATTCTTTCAGATTCATTCAGAGTAAGTGCAATTTAAAATGGTTCAGAATAACTCACCTTCCACTTTCAAAGCTTGAATAGTTGAAAAAGTGGGATTTCGCAGCTGAATTCCATGGAAATCAGCTGGTTCGCCGTCATCGAGCCGCAGCCGCTGTCGCGTCACATTGCAGCGCGGCTGTCCCGCCCCGACCGTCTGTAATGATGAGGACTGTATCTGCGACCATGCGAAGGAATGCGGCTTATTTCCGGAAACATAATATTAGTATGGGCCAAAAAGTGAAATCAAAGCGTCAACAAGCTTCCGAATGAAAATCTTTTTTTATGAGTTAGTTTTATTTTTTAATGCTATATCCATCGGAATGAAAGGATTACGCCAAGTCTGTTCACTTATGTTAATTGGGATCAATTAAAAGAATTGTGGTAGTTGTCTAATGTATCTGGCATTACTTACCACATAGGTTTCCTTTGTAAAGAAACATGGCAAGAAAAAGTAGTCAAGGAAAGAGGAGGGGACACGTTCAAGGCTCATCGTGTTGTAAAAGTGAGACCGAGTCCCATATTACCTCAGGGAAAATTGACAGTTGGTCTTCCCGTTTCAGCCGCACTTTACCCTACCCCTCCTCCGGGTTGCACAGTTGGCTGGGAACATAAAAATGAAACAACCTATGAATATTCCTACGACTATCAGTGGAAGCGGCTTGTATGTCTATTCCAGAGCTGAAGATCAATCACACTGCATTCCTATTTGCTTGATACAAGAATTCATGAAAGTTTATGACCAAATTTCACGTCGAAACCACTGTATACAATTATATTTATGTATTTAATTTGAAACACATCCTAGGGTGTGTCTCAGACGTCGATAAAGATACTCGAAAACAGCAGTGAATAGCACAGCGAAATAAAAAAACAGCATGAAAAGGAAACACCAGTGAAGAGAGCAAGCAAATAGGCGGCGAGACACAACGAAAAGGTCATTTTTCCATTAATAGCTTGGGAGGAGTCCACAAGCGAAGTCCTTGCCCATGGCTCAGAATGCAAATAGTGCAAATGTTTATTTACTTATCGGTGCTTATTACTTTGCGATGACTCATGAATTGAGAATGTAATCTAATGGTGTCTATTACAAATCATCTTTGCTTCACCCAATTCTCCGAACGAAAGTATATACAAAAGCGCCTTTTTCAATCGGATAGAAATACACCTTATACCTAATAGGGGTTATCGAATTCGGCGAAATAAGTTTAAGTCAGCAGCTTCACACAAAAACCTGAGAACACTATAGCATGAGCTGAACACATCTCATCGGCCGACCGGCTCAAGGCCGGTGATTTCCAGGCCGCGCAGCCTTATGCTTTAGGAGAGTGGCATATGCATGGGCTGTCATGGAAGAAAATAGACAGCAAATCATGTCTCCTAAGTCCTTTTTATCTCTCATTGGAACGTTTACCAGGGGCGGACTAAGGTGCGCTCGTTCCAGTCCCTTTTGGGTCATTTAACTTGTTGACAGACAAGCGTGGGAACCTCCAAGAGACATTGGCTGTAAGACTGTTCTGCTCAAACTAGCCAAGTTTCTATTGTGATACATTATCATTGTGTTTTATAGTGTTAGTACAGTAATCTCAAATAAGGTGCAATGCCTGCATTATTCAAGCCAGGAATTTGCATTCAGTGTTACTATATTTTTGCGAAGTAATATGATGGATTATTTGTCAAGGTTCAGTAGTTTTCTCTGAGAATTTTGAGGTTTCGCTTCAATGTGAAATTAAACACGGTTAATACCGTGCACCATCTTGTAGTAAGGGGAGGGGGCTATTTTATCAAATCACCTCGCACTTTAGGGCTTAAATTATTTCCGCATGATGGTCAGAGCTATAATAACTAAGTAGGCTTGAGTTCTTAATTTCCATTGGAAGAATCTGATGTGTTTCTGCGCGATGATTCTATCAGGACCTCTTGCTTCATAAACTCGTCTAATTCCCTCACTAATTGATATTCACTTAGATATAGACAGTTCTCTTCAACAGCACAGTCACGCGATAAAAAGCCTAGTGATTGGCAAAAAAAGGAAGAAAAATAGCCAAAGTGAAGTGTCTCTGAAAGAAAATGCCAAAGAGAGCATTGGAAATGCATTTGTCAGGCCTTCTCTGACCTCAAACAACTGTAGAGGTAAAAGACCGAAAGAACCGCGCGCTGGGACGATTCCCGTCGGCTGATTCGCAGTAATGAACTGTGACTCTACAAGAGACATTGAATGCATCCACTCCATGATACTTGCTCGGGAGCATTACTCTTGGCCGAAAGGCCGACTTTGGAG